TCAGCTTGCGAAATCACCGATATATTCATTTTCGCGAAAATAAGGGCCTTTACAGTAGTTAAAAGATATTAGAGATAATAAAATAACGCTGTATTTTGTGAAATATTATACTGTGTGTAAAAATCGAGAAATATGTAAGATGTATACTAGGATAAAATTTTAAACAGCATTTTCTCAGTTTGTTGAAATCTGCAGTGATTTTTCCATTATGGTATTGCTTTTTACGACAAGCGTTAACTAAATAAACAGTTGTTAGTTCAGGTCTATTTGAAGTCACTGACAAATTTAAAGCGCCAGCTATCGGTCTTTACAATTGCCAATAAAATTTTTATCGAACTTATTTACAGAATGAGAGCTCAAAAACATCTTCGGAAGCACTAAATTATCGCAATTAATATTTTTAATGAATAAAAACTTGCAACTGTGAAGAAGTGCTGTGATTCCAATGGAGAAATACATATTGGATTCGTAATCTTTGAAGAAAGTAGTACATTCCAAACTAATTTTTAAACCTACGCCGTAGTTTCATTTTCTTCCAGACAGTCCGCCACGTTAGAGGTAAAAACCGTATTCTTCGCAGCTCACCTAAACCAACTACTTTTATCTAACTCCCTGTCTTATTGAATTCATTTTAATTTCAATGATGAGAATATAATTGTAATTATATTACAAAGGTATTCCGTAAACAAAACGCCTTGTCCTGAAAACTAAGTTGTCAAGGGCTCGGTCAACGGCGCGCTTTACTTCGCACTTTTTTTCACTTTTTTAATAATATGTTATACGTATGAATTTATTTATGGAAATATAATAGCACAGACATTTAATATTAAAGCATAATTTAAAATAGTATTACGTTAAAAATATTAAAATAATCACAACTATTTATCAAAAATTTAAGTGAGAAAGTTATTAATTGTGAAACAAAGTCTTTATGTAAGGTTAAAAAAATCGTGTGCAAAGCATACTGCAGAATACAAATTTTCAAGGTATAAACAACAGCAAAAAGTAATTCTCAGATAGGAGATATACGCTTTGTACTTCAACAGCACTTGAAGTAGGATGTGGATTCTCCATAAACGACACTTCCCTACGCGTTTTCTTCACCGCATACTGTAAGGCTCCTATATACCAGGCTGAATCATCAGGCATTCGCGCTCCCAAGTGGGAGATTTAATGGCGGCTGTGTAGTTACGGTGCAACAATTTTTTGTGTAAAATGGGCGGATGTACAGCTATTAATTGTTCAAATCATTCACGGAAAGGTCATACATTGGTAAAATTTCCTAAAAATGAAGAATGAAGAAAAATATGGGTAAATAATTGCCGAAGAGGCAATTGGAAACCTGGTCCAGGCGCTGAACGACTTTGCTTAGTAAGTATAATGTTAATTACGCCTTCATTTAGATTTAGAGTTTATATCTTCTCTGATGTTTATAATGTGCAAGTAAAGTGAAATTCTTGTGTACAATAACCTGAGTATCTGCTAATTTCTGTAATAATAGCTATAATTAAATCAGTCTAGGGTTAATGTACCCGTCGCCAAACATCGCCAATGTAGATGTTTTGAATGTGAAAAGAAATTTCTCTTCTAATATAAAAGCGCGGATTTTTTTGTTTTCCTCCTGTGCTAATTGTAGAATTTATACTGATGTAACATGAAAATCATTAGCATATTGAAATTTATTAAAAAATAAATAATATTTGGAAAGTCAAGATAAAATCTGAATGTTTGCTAAAGATTATAGTAACCATTATACTATAGTTGCAATATCGTTGGAATGATATATAATTTTTTTCTTTATTTTATAATCACTATTGTTAAAAAGTTAGAATGAGTTGTTTATGCACGGTGCCCACTACTGTTTCTTGGTTAAAATAACTTCCAGAATTTGACATTGACATCTGAAGTCAATGGAATAAATTGAATAGTGTGAGACAATATATATAATCTGACTTCAATATAATTGCAAGGATTGTGCAAGTTTATTTATAATCACAGTATTATACAATTTGGCAATGGAGTAAGTAAAGATTTAGAAATGAATGCAGAACATTCAAATTAGTATTTTCTTGTTTCTAATATATAGAAATATAGTCTATTTTCCAGTATAAAAAGTTTTACTTAAAAGTATGGGAAAGCAAGATTTGTTTCATGCATGATCTTTATAATACTGGTATGAAATGAATGAATTTAATCTGTAAACAATTTTTTGTTAATATTGAAATGCGTTTCTTCTTTGGGTACATTTTAGGCACTTGTGGATTATGTCAGGCAACATGCAATAAAAAAGATGTCCGTGTGCAATAATTTTCCCATTGTGTTACTTCATTTTATCTAAATTTCAAGGATAATTCTTTTTCATTTTATATGGCATGTTATCAGTATAAAGGCTAGTGAAAATAAATTGGTATGTGTATCTGTTTTTTTGAAGTGTAATGCTTAAATAAAAAGATGGTGTGGTGTTTCTTCTTCATTTAAACAACATTTCAAGGATAGTATTTTTTTTTCAGTGTTGTTACTGTTGTTATTTCTCAATGTAAAGGGGAAAAAAAAAAAACTGGTATGGTATATCTGTTTTTTAAGCATGATAATTTTATTTATTTCTTTAGTGATGCATATATAAGAGAGAGTAGGTGTTTGGTCCAACTGAAGTTATATAAATAAATCTAATTTTTACTAGATCTCTCCCTCCCCTCAGGTGTAGAAAAATTTTCAAGTGCAGAAAGTTATGCAGAATTAATTCATTTCTGATAAACTTATTATCATTAATTTTTTTATATGACATGTTATTAAGTTACAACATTTGACTACTGTGTAATAAAATTGTATTTAGGGCAAAAAATTAACTATAATTTTGCATCTGGTGACTAATATCATATGCTTCTAAGAAATATTACTTTTAACTTTTTTTTCCATAATTTTTGTATTTCAGGAACATGAAACTGTTATTTTGATATACTTAAATAATAAAAGTATGTATCTGAATCAATTAATGGATACAAATATTTTACAGTTATTTTTAGAAGATATTTGCCATATCGCTTCTAATAATTCATAAAGTATGTTAAAATATAGGTAAATAATTTTGGTGCAGAATTCAAATTTAGGAGTTGCGAATTACATGGATAAATATATAGAAAATCATAGTGCATCATGAGACTAAATGATTTTTATTGTCATAATTTGCCTTCGGCTTAAGAAATGTACTTTTCCGCCCGGTGGAAATTGTCATCAAACTGTCCTGAACAGGCTTTTTGATTGAATAATAACTTCCAGGCTTTATCAGTACCTCCTTTTGAGTGGAGAGTATGCAAATATAGTACCCAATTTAAATTACATTGTAATTTTAATAATATTGTAGGTATTAAATAAGTGATTATAATTACAATTTAGGTAATTGCATTAATTATATTACATTGTATCTGTGAACTCTTAATTTCATTACTTTATGTAATTATGTTGTAAGTGCATAATCTAATTGCAGTAATATAATCTATTCGCAATTACAAAATAATTATAAATGCAGTTACTCTTAATTAAAAAAGAGGCCATTTTAATACTTTTTTAAAATTTTCGCAAGATAACTTCCCATTAAGGTTCATTTGGAGGAAACTATGCAAATACTAAAAAAGAAGTTATGCTAAATTTACATATTTTGTACAGTACTTTCTTGTTATAATGCTGTTCAATATATCTTCAATACTTTTGTAAATTTAACGACATTCTTTGCAATCACTGTGGTGCTTTAAAAAAGAAGTTTCTTAGTTATGCTTTCTAATAAAATGGGTTTAAAATTAAGTATTATGTATAATAACTAGCAGTTAAAAAAAAACTTGACTGCATGAAAATGCTGTTGCTGTGTAAAAATAAAAATAAAGCTTTCTTTATTTTATGCTTTGAAATGAATTACATGGGTGTAAAGTCGTCCTTTTACAATTTAAGAATGTGGTTAACACACATTCTTAAATTGGACAGGTTTTATATCTAATTATTAGTATAAAATATATAAACTATGAATTATTTTGTAACATAACTCAAATTACAAAATTCATTCTATATACGTTCAAAGTTATTATCTTTTATGGAATAACTGTTTTTTTTTAATTTAGGGTAAAAATTGGATTTTTAGAAGTATTACAAATACAATGCAACACACAAAGGTGATCTGATTGAAGAGGAAGGACTTTTTATTACGGTTTCTAGTTCGTATTTATATTACATTTGGAATAAAAGCATCCAAAACACAGAATGCTTGTACTTTCTTCTTCCATATATGTTATGAAATATTTCACACATTTAAAAGAAAATGTTTCTTCAGAGTCTTGCACAATTATTTCCATATACCTCATGAGACTTAAATGACAACATATTCTTAAACTTATTTTTTGAGTATGAATTTACAGTGTTTTTATTGAAATTTTTGTTAAAATGTCATTAAGATAAATTTATTTGCACACTTCTAGCGCTTTAACTATTTACCCCATTTGACACTATTGAAAGTTTTTATTCATTCATATCTTATTTATTTTAGTCTGTGCTAACGAAACTGAAACATCTAAAGAATAAGTTATTTTGAATATGTTTACAAAATATACGCGAAATTTTTATTTAAGTGAAAAAAACGTTCTATATACTATTCGAGAATTAATAAATTATCCGAAAAGTTTATATGCGCTGAATGCCGCGCGTCTATAAAATAAATCTTTTAAAAACAAACAGCAGACATTCAGCCAGCGTGTGCGATAAACGCGCCAAAATTGGCAGCGCGTTCACTCCCTCGCCAAGAGAGAAAAGTTGGTGATTCAGTCTGGTTTAGAGGAGCCTTAGCATACTGGCTTCGCTTCGTAAGCGATCGAGCCATACTTTTGGGCATAACTCCGCCTCTTCTGTCTGTTGAGTTAGGGACGTGATAATGCTAATTTTTCTTTTCTTGTGATGAAGTAATAATAAATGCTGAGATTTAGGTTTAGAAAATTAATTTTTTCTTTTTAATATTAACAAAATAAAATTTTTTAACGAATATTGTAATTTTAATTTAATTTTTTATTTCTTAAAAGTTTTGAATTGTTTTGGTGATACAGCTTGTATTACTAAATGTACATTCAAATTTAGTTCTTGATAATACAGGTTTAGTTAAGTGCTAAGTGACACAGTTTCCTAGCACTCGAAGGAAACTTATTTTATACAAATGTATGCCGGCCAATAGTAATATTTTGCACAAGTACAATGTTTAATTTTACTTTCTTAGATAAGATATGAATCGGCAACTCAACTGATCAAACGATAGGATTGAGAGCGGCGAACAAATTAATATTTGAGGAAATAAGATGATTAGTATACTACGTTTAATAAGTTTAAGAAGCGGGCATGAGAAGATATTTCCCTTTAAATTCAAGAGAAGTTTCTTTTCAAATCAATTTAAACCATTCCAGAACAAACTTTTAGAATTCCCTAATAATACTGCTGTGATTGATGACTTTGGATCTTTTAAATACAAAGATATATTATATTCAAGTTTCTTGCTTGCCAAAAAAATTAAATCTGTGATACCAGAATCTGAATGTGGTGAAAGAATATCTTTCCTCTGTTCAAGCGATGCAACTTATGTCTCAGCACTCTTAGCATGCTGGTTAACTGGAAACGTTGCAGTTCCATTGAATGCTAACTATCCCTCTGCTTTGCTTGAATATTTTGTAAAAGATTCTCAGAGCAAATTAGTTATTGCAAACGAAAGGTTTCGTGATCCGATGCAAAATATAGCCTCTCAAGTAAATGCTTCATTTTTCATAATTGATCGAGATATTCTTACATCCCCATCCAGAAATAACTACAATGAGATCGGACGGTCTGAATTCTGTTCTTGGAATTCTGATATGGCAAATAGAAATGCACTCATAATTTATACCAGTGGAACAACTGGGCAGCCCAAAGGTGTTGTGTTAACTCATGGTATCCTGCATGCACAGGTATGCTTTATTGCTGCTAACAGTAGAAGTTTTACTTAAGAGAATTTTATTGGAGGGATTGATAAGCAATAAAACTAAAGATAACTTTCATATCTGAATGTGAATTTTTAAATTATGTAGTGATAAAAAGGAATAATGCCATAAAATAAGCTTTAAATGCATGTGAGGGCTTATAATTTAATAAATGTGAGGATTTGAAATAATAAAAGATGAAAGTTTACAATTGGGTGCCCCTTGTTTTTTGGCGATTCTTTTTTGACGCCAAGATCGGCGCCAGGAAGGCACAATTCAAGATGGCCGCTATGCAAAATCAAAATAAGAAGTCAAAGAATTACACAAAGTCTGTGCCCGTGTACACATCGATCTGTTTTCACTTAAAAAAGCATCCTAGAATTGCACAAACTAGGCATTGCGCACTGGCTTAAATTTGTCCATGTACACATCAATCTACTTTCATTTAGATAAAATCAGGAAGCTAAAACAAAGTTAAAACTATCATGGTAACCAGAAGTGAGGTTTCATCGCCGAAATTTGAAAAAAATTGTCGCTAATCGAAGGAGCATCCAATTCTACACTAGAGCCTAATAAAATATTTGTTGTTAGGTGAAATTATTTATTTTATAAACATCAGACTCATGTATCAAGGGGGTTAATAATATTTAAGCCAATCATATTTCCAAAGGTAAAAGGTAATACTAGGATTGCACAAGTGGGAAGAGGGCTCGATGTGACAAAGATGAGAGAAAATGTTATATGACAATAACAAGTTGAATTTGTCCTTTTTCTTTTTGCAATAAAAGCCATACATATAACTTTACGTGCATTTAGTAGATGTGAACGTTGCCATAACTGCACTGTGAATATTTCTCTGATGATCTTACATAGCATTTTGGCCTTTTTACCTATTATAAAAAACTGACATGACAGTTTTTTTTATTTTAATTTACTGCAGTTTTTATTATCTCATTGCTTAAGTTAGATTTCTCCCTTTATCATACACTATTCATAACAGATACTTTTTTAGTATTTCAGAAACATTTCAACATTGCTTCTTTTAAGAGAAATTATGTACATGTGTATCAGCAGCAATATTTCCTTTATTCTATGCATTCAACTGCTTAACAATTTTTAAATTTCTTTTAATGCTGTAGTTATCAGTTCTAATCAAACAATTCAACTGCATAGTTATCTTGATATTCATGATATTGATATGCTACTACAGGTTAAGAATAATGATTTATGATTGCCCAGTAAGTGCATACCTGTAGCTTTTACTAAAAATGAGACATAACTCATTTTTATCAAAAATAACAACTGGCAGGAAATGTCAATGAAAAGGTACTGTAGCTTTGAAAATGGTACATACGGTCAGCCTATCACCATAGTTAATTTTTACAGTCTTTTGCTAAATATATTGTTAACCATTTTAAATATGAATATTTGAAAATCTTTATGCTAAGAAATGACATTCGTAATAGGCAACATGCAATAGTTAAAATTTTGAACTAATTATACATTTGTATCAATAATTATATTAGTAAAGAAAGGTTATCTTCAAATTCTTTTTATTGTTTTAATTTATTTGAAAATAAGGACATGCTTCATGTATGATATGTACTTTTCATGCACAAAATTCAGTGAAATAATTTTGATTAATTTTTAGTTTCTAGTATAGATTATGGTTCTTAACAGCTATTGATAGATTTGTTAAAGTACTTGGAATGTAGATGTGCTTTTCTTGTGCAGTACCATAATAAACATAGAAGCTTTGATATATGTAATAGATATGGTTGAAAGAATGGAAAGAAAGAACCAATATTTGTAGATGAAAACTTTTACTTTCCATGTCACAAGTCATAAACTTTCAAATCGTTTGTCTGGATGCATATGTTATTAAAATGCAGTTAGGATAAAAATAAAGGACAAAAGTTGCTGGCAAAAAGATAACACACAAACTAGCAACCTAAACACTATACCTCCTGTTTGGTCTATATCACTCGGGTACCAAATGCAATCCCAGGAATTTTGCCAAGTGATGATTATCTGTGTATCTTCTTCTAACCAGATTAAGAACGCTAGTCACATTTCACCCCAGTGTAGCTAAGCACTCGTGACCCATTATGTTTTAGGGACATTTCCAATTTTTTTTTTTGCTTCATCTAAAATTTCAATTTTATGTTCATAATTTTAATGAATCAGTGAGGCTGTTCTATGACGAAAACATTTCTTTTTAAGACTTCAGAATTTTAATATTCATTTAGCTAATTTATTAGCTAAGAAAGATCAATCATTCTTCTATGTACTAGAATCTATTTGAGAGCATTATGTGTATGAAGTCCTGGAAGGTTTTAATTAGCAATCTGCAGTCCAGGATTTTTTTACTGTAATGAGATTATCTTAATTCCCTATGACCTGTAATAGCTGATTCTGAATGTGTTCAAAGTACATTGACTAGTCATGCTAGTAACTTCAAAACAATAAAAAATTGATTCACTATTGCTGTCAAAAGTGAAATTGTAGTGATATAAAAGTGAATAGTATTTGTATAACTATACCATTGAATATCAAAAGTGTGTAATATCGAGTGTCAGGGTACATAAACTTTAAGAACAGGTGTTTGTTTTATTTAGGGAATACATTTTATCAATCAAGATGGTAAAGATTATTAACTATTTTATTGGGGCTGAAGGGAAATAAGGCTAATCTTTAAAATATGGTAACAGGTAGTTTGGCGACATTTTGGTAAGGCGATAAAGGTTACTAGCTAGGACTTTAGCAATAATCTGAGAAGTACACAGTTTGAATCACAGATTATTTTGTCTCAGAGAAATGAGAGATTGAGACATGTAATGTGACATTTTCCAGAAAATTCTGATCGTGATTTTAGCTAATAAGCACTTAGAACAATTTCGCTGCTAAAGTGCAGAAATCGCCCACTTATTTGTTTTGGCGCTTTTTACAAGAGTAAGAAGATTTTGGATTTTTGTCAATATTCTTTGACTTTTTTTAAGTGAAAATCGGTCGATGTGTACATAGATAAAGTCAAGAGTGTGCGCAATGCAATTTTTTGTTGCAATTCTGGGATGTTTTTTTTAAGGGAAAATAGGTCGACGTGTACATGGATACCGTGTATGTGCAATTCTTAATTAACGCGGCAAGCAGGCACTCTCTCAATTTCGCACCTAATCTTCGTCGTAATTAAGCATTTTTTTCCCATAAAAGCTCTAGTATAAGCGTAATTCGGCTAGAAGATTGTTGGAAAAAATGTTGAGTTAAAAAAAAAAAAAATGCCTTTATTTATACCCGAAACCTTATACCTGAAAACTTATACCTGAAAACAAAATGGCGTCCAAAACAAAACTAGCAGGTTGCTGTAGTATGGTTGGTCGCCAAATTTTCGCCAAAAAATCGCTAAGTTACCATAATGTAAAGATTCACCGGAAATAATATAGAACTCAGAAATTTATTTTCATCATAGTGAAGTTTTGCCTTCTTTCACCCCCGCAAGATCTGAATTCGACTGTCTGTGTTTTAAAACCTCTCTGCCTAGATGCATAAATGTGGGGGTTAAAACTTTCATGAATGTTATTTTATGAAATTTCTATGCAAGCCTTCAGTCTGTGCTCTTAATTAATTAAAAATTCACTATATATTTCAAACTTAATTTAGATTTTTATTTTTGCTTTAAACATTTAACCAAATGCTATCAATTTTAAAAGAGAACTTTTTGATTATAAACCTAATTGAACATTTTATTTTTTAGGTTTCAGCTGTTGTACAGGCATGGGAAATTTCATCAAAAGATTCTATTCTACATACTTTACCTCTTCATCACATTCATGGGATAATGAATGGGCTACTATGTCCTCTGAACGTGGGTGGATGTCTTGTTATGCGTCCGAAGTTTATTGCTTCAGAAGTAAGTTTTAAACTTTTGTAGTTTTTTTTTATATACTGTGCCTCAACATATTTTGCAGATGGTGACAAATTGTTTAGATAACCGAATAAACATTTCAGAAAAAAAATCATGTTTTGTTTATACGGCAGTTTTGCGCATATCATTTGTTAATACAGTCAAAAGTCTTTAATCCGGACTCGTCGGGACTTCGGCGATTCCTAATTATCGGTTTTCCGGGTTCTAGATCATCAGTTTAAATATGGTCAGATGACATGCAGAAATTATAAAATTAAAAATATGAAAACCGTAATTTATGAATAAAGAGCAATTATGATCTAAAGGGTATCAAAATTTACAAAAAAAAAAAAAAAAGTTTAATATTTATTTGTTTACTTTATTAAACATTTCTTTCAGTGTGCACTTGTGTAAAGCATACATTACGCATAGTCGAAATTAGAAAATTGTAACCAGAAAACTATTTGATGTGTATTCATGATATTTATAATGACAAAAAATTTGATTTAAATCATATCAAAGATGGAGTACATCGAAATGAAATACAGTCAAAAGTCCTTAATCCGAACTCGTCGGGACTTCGGCGAATCCGGATTATAGATCATCAGTTTAAATCTGGTAAGATGGCATGCAGAAATTATAAAATTAAAAATATGAAACCCTAATTTATGAAATAAGAAACAATTATGATCTAAAGGGTGTCAAAATTTACAAAAAAAAAAAAAAAAAAAAAAAAAAAAAGCTTAAATATTTATTTGTTTAACTTTATTAAACATTTCTTTCATGTACGTTGTTTTAAGTTTGCTTCGTTTTATGTGATAATATTTTTTCTCTTAATTCTATAAACAGACATAATTCCTTCTTCAGTTACAAAGTTGCACTGTTCAAGTCCTATAATTGCTGTGTTGAGAATACCGACTAATTGTCAATCGAAATTTTTTTTTTCATTTTCAATAACCTCCGTGTCATTTTCTTTCACTATCAGAAGCGAATTAAATGACGAGGAATTTGATTTAAATCATATCAAAGACGGAGTACATCGAGATGAAATACTACATTTAGTAAGGAATTATAAGCCAAATAAAAACATCTGCCCTGAAGATAAGGATAGTGCTGACAGATCAACTTCCAATTCATTGTGTGCCGCGGCGTCCCCCCCTGCCACAGAGCAGCGTGAAATTGATAAACAGATTTCGGAATGGTTAGAGAAACGAAGGATATGCCTTTGTCCATTTTTTGCAGCAATTCCACTTTTTGTTTAATGGACTTCGAAACTTACTTTCGCTTTGTAGATCCTTTACATATTAGTAAATATATATATCAGAAATTCTATTTGACATAATCGAAAGTTCAAGCTTACTTTTATAAAATTGCTCAAAAAATAATAAGCCGGATCCAATTCGAAGATTAAGGAACAACGCAATCTGCAACATTAACTGAATTAGATAATTTTAGCTTAGGTTATACCGTTTGTTATACATTAAACGCGCATGCGTAAACTTATTATGCACATGCGCACACGCATATTCGCAGCCGTAAAGGTCTTACGCGACGCATGCGCAGAAAGTATGTAGCTTTGAGGTCCTGATTATAGATCATTCCGGATTAAGGGTGTCCGAATTAATGACTTTTGACTGTACTACATTTAGTAAGGAATTATGAGCTGAATAAAATAAAAGCATCTGCCCTGAAGATAAGGATAGTGCTGACAGATCAACTTCCAGTTCATTGTGCGCCATGACGTCCCCCTGCAGAGCAGCGTGAAATTGATGAACAGGTTTCGGAATGGTTAGAGAAACAAAGGGTATGCCTTCATCCATTTTTTGCAGCAATTCCACTTTTTGTTTGATGGACATCGAAAAATGCTTTTGCTTTGTAGATCCTTTGGCAGCTCCAGAATCGGAAATTCTTTTTGACATAATCGAAAGTTACTTACTTTTATAAAATTGCTCTAACAGTCTGCAAAAAATAATAAGCCGGATCCAATTAGAAGATTAAGGAACAACGCAATCTGCAACATTAACTGAAATAGATAATTAGATAATTTTAGCTTAGCTCCGTCCGTTATACATTAAACTCGCATGCATAAACGTATTATGCGCATGCGTAAAGGTATTATAAGCATGCATAAATGCATTATGCGTTTATGCATGCACAGAAAGTTTGTAGCTTTGAGTTCTTTTTTGACTGTATATATATTTGATGACACATATTTAAATAAATATGGGTACGACAGTTTCATCGCCAGTTAGGTATAAGTGTGAAGTAACAACACATTAATACAGGGCTGTGGAGTCGGAATCGGAGTCAGGCAGATTTTTGTGTAAAAGCATTTGGAGCTGGAATCGCTATAAAAACACATTGACTCCAACTCCAATTTTTGTTGGACAGTTTTAATCTAAAATGAAATTAAAGTGAACTGAAAAAAATATTTATGACAAACTGAGCTATTATTTTTATTTATGGACTATATACATTAATAAATAGTTCTTTTCCATTTTATTGGCATATTAATAAATAAATATAAGCTAGGAAGATGGATTACACTGCTGAAAAAAAAAATGGGACAGATCTATAACTCCTGTTTTACTAGGCTGATTGACGAAATTCAAGTTGTGTTTTTCATGTCTCGAAAGCGCGACATAGAATATGTATTAGATTTATATATAACATTGTACTAATATAGGTATTCTGACACAAAATCGGACCTTTTTCTGAAATAACGTACCAATTTCTTTCCATATTTCAATTCTACGACTCTAATTATGCCAAACTACCAAGTTTTGTAAAAATTGCACAAGTAGGTTTTAAAAAATTAGCTCTCAACATTTTAGCTCCTCAATGTTAATTGAGTTTGATATATATTTATTGAGCTCTTTTTTTTATTAAGCTTAATTGCTTCTTTCTTTTGCATTTCGAAATTCAGATTCATTCCAAAAAAAATTCACCTATATTTATGATTTATTTTTTTAATTTGTATTTAAATAATTTTTGTAAATTTTTCGAAAAAATTTATGTATTATAAGCTATAAAATTTTTAACATCATCTTAAAGTAGATGTATTTATTTCTAGGCACAAAACAACAACAACAACAACAAAAAAAAAAAAAAAAAAAAAAAAAAGTTTAACTGTAAAGAAACTAAGAGTTTTTTTATTCAAAATTTTCTAAGGTATACATGAATTTACATATTGGAGCATTTTGAAATTTGGCATCTTCTTTGTGAGTGATAATAACGCCAAATGTGGTTTACGCACTTTGTTAAAGTTATTTGAAAGTTTGAAAGATGACTTTTTTCCGCTCGTCTACAATGAAAAAAAGAAACGGAAAATAGGTTGCTATAAATTAAGAAGTTCGCCAAGTAAATTATTCACGGAGAAAACTGAAAAAATACACCAAGATAAATTTTTGAACTCCGTAAATTTTGCACCAGATTTTACAAAATCTAATATTTAGGCATAATTTGAGTCGTAGAATTGAAATATGGGAAAAATTGACATGTCATTTCAGAAAAAGTCCGATTTTTGTGTCAAAATACTTATGTTAGAATGATGCTATATATAAATCTAATATATATCCTAAGTTGTGCTTTCGAGACATGAAAAACGCAATTTGAATTTCGTCAATCAGCCCAATAGAACGGGAGATATAGAACTGTTCCCCCCTTTTTTTCCTCCCTGCAGTGTACATATTTGGTGATATAGATGTTGTTAGAATTTAAAAAGTTTTTAGATGTAGGTAACCCTAATGTTTCACTAACAGAAAGACTGGGGAATGGTCTTTCCCCAGAATGGTAAACTTTTCTTTCTACACCATATATAGCCACAAAAAAGCTTCAATCTGAAGAATTAAAAGGAGGTGAGAATGGAAGAATGTGATGTTTGTTCTTTCTGAAATGGAGGGTTTATTACAGAAGGAATCATTTGTTCAATGAAGAAAAGAGAAACTAGTATGCTAGACAATGAGATCCAAAACGCCGAATTTTGTTGGATGATGAACAAATTAAAAAGGCAAAGAAAGCCATCTATGAACTTTCATTAAGGATGAAATTATTTTCAGAACAATTGAAATCAGGACAGTCAAACTGCAGGCCTTGGAACTGAGTCTCTATCATCCTCTTCCAGTTATGAATTGGATTTTGAGAAATATTTGGATAATATTGAAAAGGCTAAGACAAAGAATGAAAATAAAGAACCAAGACTATTTAGATATAAAAATGAAAAAATGCAAACAAGATTTCTACACAGCCTTTGAAGAAATAGAGAAATATGATTTCTTATGCAAGACACCTCTTTTAGACTTCTAAAAATCTATCCTGAAAATTTAAAAGAAGTAGCCCTAACAGTAACAGTTCTTCCTCGTACTCAAGTCATTGTGGAAAGACTTTTCTCAGCTCTGAAGTTTATCAAATCAGTCCTATAACAAAGAAAAATATGCTGTAATCCATGTGGATAAAAGTATATTTTAGGGTACCCTTTCGCGATTTTTGCCGATTTTTGATGATTCTAGAAACAGTAAACAGTGGATTATTTTCAAACTTATCACATCCTACCATAAAAAAGTGTGTATTGGTGGACGCGATATGGTCAGCAATACATGCCTGACAAAACAGTAATGCAATACAAAGTCTGAGATCTGGATTGCGGATATTAGATCATCAGTCTGGCATGCAGAAATCATAAAATTAAACATATGAAATCACGATTTATGAAAGAATGAAGCATTTATGATCTAAAAGGTATTTAAAATTTACAGAAAATACTTAATATTTATATGTTTACTTTATTAAACATTTCTTTCAGTTTAAGTTGTTTAAGTAGCTATGTTTTTTGTGCTAATAGTTTCTGTTTAATTCTGTAGATATTAATATAATATAATTTCTTGTTTATTTACCAAGTTCTTTACCAAGTCCTGTGATTGCTGGGTTGAGAATTCTGACTTAACTTGTCAATCGAAATTTTTTCGTTTTCAGTAACATCTCTGTCTCTTTCTTCATTGTCAGTAGTGGTATTTTCTGAATCTAGAACCATGCTACAGATTTTGCCTTCCATTAGTGGATTGATGATTAGGGCATTGTCATCACAGTGATAAACATGTACAGTCAAAAGTTGTTAATTCGGACACTGGAATGATCTATAATCCGGACCTCAAAGCTAAAAACTTTCTGCGCATGCGGCGCGCTGACACATGCGCATATGCGTTTACGCGTGCGCGTAAGACCTTTACGACTGCGCATATGCGTGTGCGGAAGTGCAGAATACGTTTTCGCGTGCGCGTTTAACGTATAACGGTTCCTCTGAATCTTTGCTTACCAATGAACTTAATTATTTGAGAGCAGTTACGATTGACCGTGGATTTTCTCCCGTGATTATTGATAAAGCCGTCAAAAAATTTTCAGATTCCCATCAAAGAAGACATTCCACTGTTAGAAATAATATTAATGACCTTGTCGTGCTTCCATTTTATACTTCTGTTAGCTATAAAATTGCACGGATTCTCCAGAAATTCAATTTTAAAGTCGGTTTCTTCCCTCCCCCTATTAATAAAATTCACCCTTCGATTCTAAAAGATTGCGTTTCTGTCTTGAATTCTTGGGGAATTTATAGTATAATCATGTCAGTGTGGTTTAAGATATATTGGCCAAACAAAAAGAGCGTTGAAGTTTCGTATCAAGGAACATGAATCTTATGTCAAAAAAGGCGAAATTAACAAGTCTTCAATAGCGTATCATAGCTGGACTTTTAACCATAATTTTTGATTTTGGGTCTGCAAAAATCATCCAAAAGGCTTCTTCCATAGGCGAATTGGATTTTCTTGAGGCTTTTCACATTCACAAAGATTTAGAAAGTTTAGTTAATGATTTTGAAGTCCAATCCAGTCCTTCCTAATGCCTTTAAAATTCTACTATCTTAATTCAATTATTTTTTGCCGATAGATGGCGTTACCCTCCTCGCGCTTGGTACTACCAGAGGGTATAAAAATCCGTTCAGTGGTTGCTTTCCATTATTTGAAGTTCAGATTTTGAGCGTAATGTGCATTTGCCCCTCGCTCCCTATTTTAACTTCGCTAATATTTCTTTATGCTTGATCAGACAGCCTGGCTCAGTAAAAGTAGGCGGCCAGTGCAACTCTGATTAAAAAATCTAGTTATAACCACGTGCAGTGCTGATAAGCACTACGTGTTTCTGTGACTCCTTTTATTTTCTTCTTTCTATGTATTTGTTTCTCCTGATGAGGAGGGACCTTTAGCTGCCCTCGAAATCGATTGAGTGTTTCATTATACCTACGCTAAATATAAGGTTGTTTTTTACGATTTTCACAGTAGCGTGTTTCTCTTCTAGTCTAGTTCTAGTCTAGTATAACGGATGGTATAAGCTAAAATTATCTAATTATCTATTTCAGTTAATGTTGATGATTGCATTGTTCCTTAATCTTCGAACTGGATCCGGTTTATTACTTTTTTCAGACAGTAAGAGCAGTTTTATAAAAGTAAACTTGAACTTCCGATTATGTCAAATAGAATTTCCGATGCTGGAGCTCCCAAAGGATCTACAAAACGAAAGTATGTTTCAATGTCCATCAAACAAAAAGTGGAATTGCTGCAAAAAATGGATAAAAACATGAAGAAGGTGACAGAGAGGTTAGTGAAAATGAAAAAATTTCGATTGACAAGTTAGTCGGCATTCTCGGCACAGCAATTACAGGACTTGAACAGCGGAACTTTGTAACTGACAAGAAATTATGTCTGTTTATAGAATTAAAGAGAAAGTATTATCACAAAAAACGAAGCAACTTAAACAACTTACATTGAAAGAAATGTTTAATAAAGTAAACAAACAAATATTAAGCTTTTTTTTTGTAAATTTTGATACTCTTTAGATCATAATTGTTCTTTATTTCATAAATTACGGTTTCATACTTTTAATTTTAAAATTTCTGCATGCCATTTTACAAAATTTAAACTGATGATCTATAATCCGGAATCGCCGAAGTCCCGACGAGTCTGGATTAATGACTTTTGACTGTATTAACTCTTTCCTAAATTATACTGACTGGTGCGGCCATGCAAGCTCTGCCTTTATGTGAATAACAAAGGAATTATTCTTAATTTAAATAGCACTGAATGTAATCTTTTGGCTTATGAATATCATTAACAAAACCTATTTTTAGCATATGAAAAGAAATTTTTGTTAAATCTTTCCTTGTCAATGTTTCTTAATGCATATACTAACTTATATGTGTAATTGGTAAGCGTAATGTTAACAAAAAAGATTACAGTGCTCTTCGTTATTCAATCACTAGTATAAAAAAAATTGCTTAGGCTTTGTTGCATGAGTCATTACTCACATTGTAATGTGTTGATAAACATGCAGGGATGAAAGAAAAATATAATAAATAATGATTCACCAGGTTGGTGTCAGGAGTTAAAATATTAGTTGGTGTAAAATCAAAAATGTTTCTGTGTAGAATGTTTTAGTTTGAGATGTATGCGAAGCAGATATGTGGATTCAGAGTCAAATTATTGATCTCACGAATTTATGCTAAAATGATTATTTCTTCAATAATGATGTATTTTATTTAGTGCCAAAGTGAGATTAAGAATCGGAACTTTCTGCATGTCGCAAGATTTGTCTACTATTTAAAAGAATCACTTATATTTACAGAATCTGGGACATATCCTAGAGTAGGAGCCTGCATTAAAATCCTGGGCCATCTTACAGTGATGCAAAATCATTCAGCATTTTACAAACCCTAAATGCAAAATGAGCTTTTATTTAAGATATAGATTTCAGATATCAAAAACTCTATTGTATTATGAGACAAAAAGTTAATAATGTTAGATGCGTTAATAATGATAGGTGCATTTTTAACAAAGTATACTTAAGTGTAAAGGGGAAAAAATAAATAAAATAAAGATTAAGGTAATGTATATTTCAAATAAAATACTAGCAATGGAGTAAGAGGGTTTCAGCTTAAACAGAGGATTCCTGTCCTATCTTCTCCTTTAAGTGTATACTGAATAAATTGTCTTTTGAATTAAAGTATGATTGAATGAGACATAACTATATTTAGTGAACATCCATGCATGATAAGAGCACAGGGAGAGAATACAAGCATGTGTAAGTTTCTTTCATGCAATTAAAATACACATAGAAAAATTGCTTTTTTGATATGCAGCTTCTTGCAGTTAGTCACGAAATGCAATGTTTTGAAGATTTATTTGTTTAATGTTGTTTAATTGCTTAGAAAATATTGAACATAAGTATTGTTCAAAGTAAGTTTTATAATCTGAAAGTACTCGGCATTTTCAAGGGCTTATAAAGATAGTATAAGTACCATCTACCTGAGAAAATGTTTCCTTTTAAAAGTTTATAAAAGTTGAGTAAAAATGTACTTTATTATAGTTTTTATATTATTCATTTTTAGGTGTGGGAATACTTTCTTAATACAGATAAGATGAAACCAGATGTTAATTTATACTTTGCAGTTCCTACTATGTATGCAATGCTGATAAGAGAGTTTGATGAAAAGTCCAAAAATAATAGTAATACAAGAAACAGACCTTTGAATAATATACGGTAATTGTTAATATTATTAATATAATTCCAAATATCTAAAACTAAATTAATCTTCTTCAGAATTCTAAATAATTTAATGATATGTGTTAGACACATTACATATGAGTATATTTTTATGAGGAGAATGCATATATCTGTCTCATCAACTTTTGCGAAACTCAACACAATTATAGGGTACCTTAAAAGTAATGCATGTGTTAGTGGTGTCCGAAATAAGTGAGAAAATTGAGTGCAGTGCTCTGTGTAATGCTTTTCTTTGAATTTATTAAAACTGCCGGAGGCACAGCTGCTATAGATAATAGGTCTGTGATTCTGTTCCTGGCATAAGTTGCTCTTTTCCTTATATGTATTTATTTTTTCATTTTACTTCAGAATTTATTGATAGATGTATGATCTTAAAAGAATATGATGATAAATTAATTATCTTTCTTTTCCATATATCAGCTTATATATATATATATATAAATGTAATATACTAGTATGCAAAACTTGAGCAACTTTTTTTTGGCTATAATTCTGCAAAAAATCAACTGACAGATATGAAATTCATACTACAGAGAAACAATGTACACTTAAAAGGATGAGGAAAGTATAAAAGCAAAAAAGTGAATGGGACACATGCAGCACAGGACAAATAAGAAAAGGCTCTATCAACAGAATGGTGTTTGTACAAAAAATTGTCTGGCAAAGAGAGAGAACAGAAGACCTCCCCTAATTGAAATGGTTGCATTGCACTGTCTTTCAATACTCTACACAGATAACCGTCTTTTGATACTCTACACTAGATTATCTTACAATTCTTGAGGTAAGAGTTCCCATTCTTCAAGGAGCATCTGTTTCAGCTATCTGGTGTTATCCAAAGGCTAAGATTGTGCTGCCAGGCATCTCTGTAAATTATCTCACACATGTTCAATGGCCTTAAAATTGGGAGGATCTCACTGGCCAATCCAGTCTGTGTCTATCTTCATTTTTCAGGAGCTCCTAAACAGCATGTGTACTGTGTGGCCATGCGCTGTCATCCACAAAAACAAAGTTGGAACCAATGGAGTCCTGGAAAAGGCACACATGGGGGGGGAGGATAGCTTCATCACTGTAATGGTCTCCGGTAAGTGAATCTCTCTGAAATGCCAAAAATATGGAACTTTATCTGTGCATTCAGGATAATGTGTCCCCATACAAGCATGCCAAAACTACCCCAATGGTCTTTTTCCGTGATATTAGTGGGATAAAAGCAGGCCCTGATATTTCATTCCATATCACCTGGTGCACATTTATCAGACTGAAATGATTCTCATCGGTAAAGAAGACATGGCTATCACTCTTAACAGTGCTGCCGACAGGCTGCTGTAAGTAGTATACAGTGTTCAGGATGGTTGGCAAATAGGCTACCTTTATGAAGTCATCTAATCTGCAGTAAACCAAGACACCTATCATCTGGTTGCCATATGCAACTGCTGAGCAGTGTTCCACTGTTTTGTTACAAACCTTTTTCATGTGCAAGCTGATGTATCAGTTATCAGTCACTGTTGGTTTCCTTGGCCAATCATCACCAACATTTCTTACAGCTGTACCTGTTCAGAAGGATTTCCAAGCTCGTGGAACAATGCTATTATTAATTCCAAACTCTTGGATGACAAAGGTCAAACTACCTCCCTTCTCAAACTTGCCAATCATTCTACAGTGTGTAAAGGTTTCCTGATGTTTTTAGTAACCATACTGCATGCTCTTTCACTTGCAGAGGAATGCCCAAAATACACTTTCCTTTCTTTTCTTTTTAAGTTGCCTTGCACGAAGTGTGCCAACTCCTCATGTTTTGTGTGCCTTGATGCACCTTTTGACGTAATGGTGCTGATATTTGCATATGCATCATCTTTCTACTCAGTTGGCTTATCAGTATACTTGTCCCCAAAAGCCCTTTTTAATAATTTCAGTGCTGTATATTGAAAAATGAGTTTGTTGTGGAAGTTTTCCATGATAGTATATTTCTATAGTGAAGTTAAATTTTTTACAATTCACAAATTTTCATAACCATTATTTTTTAATTTTTCAAAACTGGAAGTTGATTCACCACAAGACGTTGCTAAGATTGATATGTTGACACTTCAGTAAAGTACTTGTTTTATTTATTTATTCTTGAAAAAATTTTGAAATCTGCATTATTTTCATCAGCATCAGCAACATACAGAAGGATGTTTAAAGTTTTATTTTCCCCTTGAAATTTTAAAGAATAAATTTTCTGAAAAAAAAATCAATGTGTTTATAGTCATGATTTTACAATATGTTATAGTTTGGTTTGTTTCGAAAGAAATATACATTATGTTGTTGCAAATAAATATATATGTAAAATGAAATGGACCAAAAAAGTATCCTTGGACCTTTTTTGTCACCTCTTTTTTGTATCATTCCTGTAAAAAGATAAAGAAAATTAAAAAAAAAAAATTTAAATATCTCGTAAATGTAAATTTATATATATAAAATACATTAAAACAGAAAATAAAAATTTACTCTTGAAATTTTTATCACATCAATACTTTTTATGTTGATTTAACATTAAAAATTGCATAAACAGAACACCTATTTCTCATCTGCAATGTTTACTTGCAAAAATGCACACACTTGATTGTTGAAGTCTTTTGCAGTTTCATAAATTTAACTAATATCACTCAATATTAAAATAATATATTTATTAATGTGAGCTCTAAAAAAAGCTTTTTTATTTTTTTATCACTTATTTTGAATTACTACTTATCGCATAGCTGACCATAATTTAAAATTTTTTTTTTTTCAAATAAAATTGGATCTTTGTTTTGCATATTACATTCAAAGTTTTAAAGAATGGTGAAATTCTGATGTTTTTCATTGATTTTTTTTATATAGTTCCTAAATTCTATACTATTGAAACATTGTAGGTTCTAATATAAGTTTTGAGGCATGGGGAAGAGGGAAAAAAGTTTTAAACTTATAATTTCAAATTATTTATTCATTGCACAGAAAGCTCAAGGAACAAGGATTTTTTGTAGAAATAGCAATGTTTTATAATTTTTGCTACGAACGTTTTTAAGCAGTGACTAATTATCAAATATTATGTAATAGTATGTGTATATTGTAACTTATTATGTAATCATGTATGTGATAACCGATTCAGACTATTCTCACATCATTGACAGAAACATAACAAGAAAGGGAAAATTAGTTATAAAAGAAATGATTTGCAGAATCGGTCTGTTAAGGAAACACTACATGGTCTGTACTTTGATGACAAAGATGACACAGTGGTAATTAAAAAATTAATTCAAAGCTTTTTCGAAATAAAAGAGGACCATTATTATGTTGTACAAGAACTAGGATCAGAATATATCGCTACATTTCTCCTGCTACAGGACATGCTAAAGATATAACTTCTACCATAATTTCCCATTTGACTACACATGATACAGTACAAAGTCTGTAATCCGGACTCGTCGGGACTTCGGTGATTCTGGATTAGGGGTTTTTCCAGATTATAGATTATCAATTTAAATCTGGTAAGATGGCATGCAGAAATTATACAATTAAAAATATGAAACCATAATTTATGAAATAAAGAGCAATTATGATCTAAAGGGTATCAAAATTTACAAAAAAATGCTTAATATTTGTTTGTTTACTTTATTAAACATTTCTTTCAATGTAAGTTGTTTAAGTTGCTTCGTTTTTTTTGTGCTATACCGTAATTTCGCACGTATAGTCCGCACGCAGATTTTATAAAAAAAATTTCAAAAATCGTCAATATCCGCACCACCGGATAGTCCGCGGACTATACGTCCGAAATTACGTTTTTTTAATACGGCAATATTCCCATGCTTTTTAAACACATCCTTGTTTGCGCCAATTTCTCACCGCTTTCTCGTCCACTTCAAAATAACGGGGTAAAATCCTAGTATACGGTGCAGCCTTGGCGCGACTTTGAAAATTATCGCCAACACCAAAAATGATCCAAAGAACGTCTATATATATACTATGCACTATATACTATGTGTGTATATACATAGTATATATACTATATATGTAGTATATACTATGTTAAACTATATATATTTTTTTTAAATGACCCGTTAACTACTCATCGTATATGTCCCGTTTTTACTGCTCATCATAAAGTCGCCAAAAGTAGCCAAATCCCGTGTGCACCGAATACTAGGATTAAACCAATAACGGCCCGCTTCTCTATTTCCATCTTTTTCCCGGCGATGTTTCATCAACGTTATCGAAGATGAAAGACAAAATACTGTGCAACGTGCTATACTCGTCATAAGTGGTAATGCTCACTCGGTGTTGCCAAACCACCGAGTAAACGAATCACGCTTTTTTTTTTTTTTTTTCATACTCCAGGTACTTGCTACTATGGCTCCTAAAAACCGAGCTGACGCATCAACTACTTTTCCCCCTCCTGGCAGTCAGTTGCGCTTAAAGCAGTGCGAAGGATACTGGGATACAAGACTCTGGTTGCGCTAAGTGAGTGTTCATGCAAGACTTTCTTTGCTCATATCCCGGCATCGCTTGATGCGCCAGCCTGGATTTTAGGGAGCTTCTACTTGCTACTACTCATTCGTTCTGCACTATGCTCTATGGTTTACTATGCTCTATGGCGACCGCTCTCCCGCCAACCCGATTTACGAATGTATTTCTCCCGGAATCTCGCGCTTTTTTTATATTTGATCATCGGCAGTTCCCGACAGCGTGTTTTTTAAATTTCAACGATTTTAACCGTGAACAACCAGCATATTATCCGCACTGGTGGATAGTCCGCAGTTTCAAAAATTCGCATTTTAAACACAGATAGTCCGCGGACTATACGCGCGAAATTACGGTACTTTCTCTTTAATTCTATAAACAGACATAATTTCTTGTTTAGTTATAAAGTTCCACTGTTCAAGTCCTGAAATCACTGTGTCGAGAATACCGATTAACTTGTCGATTGAAATTTTTTCGTTTTCAATAACCTCTCTGTCACTTCCTTAACTATTGGAATGGAATTATCTGGATCTAGAACCATACTACAGATTTCGCTGTCTGTTAATTGACTGATGATTGGGGCATTGTCTTTGCAATGAAAAACATCTGTTATATCATCTTCATTTATTACTGCTTCTCCACATTTCTTTACAAAAACGAATAACTGGAAAATTTCACCTTTAGTTTGTGATGTCCGAAAACCTTCAAATTCGCGGCTAACATCTTCATCGTCCTCATCATGAAACATGGTAGCTGGCCATAAATTATGCCAAGCATTTTTTAACGTATCTGGAGACACACACGCATGCGTAAAGCATGCAAAAAAAAAAAAAAAAAAAAAGGTTTGTGGTTTTGAGGTCTGGATTATAAATCATTCCAGATAATGGACGTCTGGATTACGGACTTTCTACTGTATTTCCTTTGATGAACATGATATAATAGGGAGCAGTGGAACTATAATTAATACTGGTTTGTAAAATGGTGTCATCCACCAGATCAGATTGCATGCTGGAGACCACTGCAGTGGTCTATATGTCTCTTACACTTCAATGAACTGCTATTCTATCACTTTTTTAATCACTTTGATTTTGTTACCACAGGACAAAAATTCTTCCCTGAAAAATATTCTGAAGCTATGTGCTATTTTGCCAAAATATGCAACTCATGATGTCACAAGTGCTAATTTCCACTGAGGGGCCATGTTTCCACCTTCAAATTTGACCCTCAGTAGTGTTTGTTTTTGCTGTATTGAGTGCCTTTTTTTTCCTTTGTGTAATCACTATGGATATTGCTTGCCAGCTGATGGAAAAGCAAGTGTTGTATTTCTTGAAAAGCATGGCATTTTCCGTAACAGTAGAAAATGAAAAAAATTGTGTTCCATGAAGTAGGACTTCGTAAACAATCGCAATTTATGTGTAAAAATTTGTGTACAGATGCCCAATGTAGACAGTTCTCTGATATTTTTTAAGCAAAAACAGGCATCGTAATTATTAAAAACTGGCACCTCACTGCAACTGGATTTCCTAAGCTCCTCTTGTCTTACCTAGGCTGTAGAATGCCAAACTTGTGACCAAGAATCTAAAAATGACAATGTGCTCAGTGCCAAGTTGTGAGTGATGCCGAGTTTCTGCTATTTTCTGGTTTTTTTTTTTTTTTTTCTTAAACCCTCTGAGCAGCTTGGGTTTTTGGATGTGTCATGGAGACTTGCATTCAGAGAGCCTTTATTAGCTAAATTTGTATATTTATGTACTTTAAGCTCTATTTTCATAAACTTACATTTTTTTAGATGACATTCATATTATTAAAGAAAGTAAGAAAGCAAAATATCGTAAATTTTAAGCTAATATATATCAAGTGACAAAAAATCTCATGACCGAATAAAGCCGGCCATGATGCTCAGAGAGTTAAATAAAAACCGACCGCTGTGTACGTGGGGAAAAACAGTGTAAAAAGAGTGTTTTATTATGAAAGTTTCTTTCATTTTTAATTTTGTTAATTGGTTGCTGTTTTATGTAATTCTTAATGTGCCACATTTTTTTTTTAAATGGCTCTTATTTTTTGCATCTTAGCTTTGGCAAAAAATTAGTCTGCGAAAAGTTTATGCCTTTTCGGAAGGGGTGCTGAATAATCAGAAAGTACCGTATTTGCAAATGCATTTTTAAGGTAATTTTGCTAGGTGTGGGCAAAGTCATTGTGTTAAAAGCCATGCATTACCATTGTTGAATAAAAGAAAGCATGTGATAAAAGTATGTTTATTAATTTGAACAATTTTTTCATTCAATAGGCTAATGTCATCTGGTTCAGCTGCTCTACCTGAGCCAGTTTTTTATAAGTGGGAAACTATTACTGGCCATCGTTTATTAGAGAGGTTTGGAATGTCAGAAATAGGAATGGCTTTATCCAATCCCTTAAATGGTCCACGAATACCAGGTTGGTTTTTTTTTTTTTAAACCTATGTATTAAGCAATTTCATTCCAATGATATATGACTGAAGAATACATAAATTCATCAAACATAATTCTTTTCATTTTATGTTTTTACTGGTGGCTAAGTGTCTAAATCTTACAGAAGGTAGGCATACATTTCCTGCATGGGTTCAACTTCCTTTCCTATTTTACCATAATTTCACTAATCAACCATTGTATATTTCTGTTCCCCCCCCCCCATGTTTAGAAAATGTGAGCCAGAAAAATGTTAATTTAAAGAGCTGTCCAAGAAAATTTTCCAAAGCAAGATATGTCTCAAATACTTTTTTGCAATTTATCTTATGCTACTTGAGAAATGTAAGTGGTTATTTAGGTGTTCTTGTCTTCGAATCTCATATCTTAAAAATATTATTTGCTGTGATAAGAGGATTGAACTTCATTCAGATGGTACAGCATCAGGTAAAGAAATAAATCAAGAAATTTAATTTAATATTCCTAACCTGCTGGTTTATAGGATACTCTTGGATAAAATTAAGTGAATGTTGTGGTATTTCATCATCCTTATTTTTTTGTGGTCTCCATGTGAAATCTGTAAATGCTGATTTCTAAATTTAATAGTTGGTTGCTAATTTTAAAGGTACACTGCTAAAAAAAAAATGGGACAGTGCTATTTCTCCCGTTCTACTAGGCCGATTAACAAAATTCAAACTGCGTTTTTCATTTCTCAAAAGCGCGACTTAGGATATATATTAGATTTATATATAAGCATTATTCTAATATTTGGTATTTTGACACAAAGTCAGACTTTTTCTGAAAATGAACATACCAATTTTTTTTTTTCCATATTTTCGATTATACGAACTCAAATTATGCCAGAACTGCCAAGTTTTTTGTAAAAAAGTCGTACGAAGTAGATTTTAAAATAATTAGCTCTCAAAATTTTAGCTCCTTCAATGTTAATTGATTTTGATGCAAATATTTATTAATATCTCTTTTTTTATTAAACTTATTTTGATTCTTCCTTTCACATTTCGAAATTTAGGTTCATTCCAAATAAATTTACCCATTTTTCTGTTTTATTTTTTTAAATTTTCTATTTTTAAAAATAATTTTTATAAAATTTTTTGAAAAAAATTTTGAATTATAACCTATAAAATTTTTACCATCATCTTAAAGCAAGTGTATTTCTAAGCATACCTGCAAATAATTAGACTCTTTTATTCAAAATTTTCTAAGATATACACGAATTTACATACTTTCACGTTTTGAAATTTGGCATCTTTTTTTTTTTTTGAGCGATAATAACGCAAAATGTGGTTTATGGATTTTTGTTACAGTGAATTGCCACAGCTATTTTTAACCTTAAATTTCAAGTAAAATTTTACGGAGAATTAATTATATGAAATTTTTTCCCTCAATGAAGGCATAATAAATATTTATTAATACTATATGAAAGCTATTTTTTTAAATTATAGAGGATATATTCAAAATTTTTAACTATTTTTTTAATTTCTCTCTTTTTTCCTTTTTTTTTTCTTTTTTTTTTTTTTTTTTTAAAGTATTTGTAAGAGTAAATTTTTATCTTCGGCGTTTTATTGTTTGCTACTTTGCTTTAACGTCGTTTAAATCGAATTGTCTAAAACTGAGAACTTTCGTTTGATGTTTATTTGAATTTTACAAAAATATTTTATTACATTAAATGCATAATTTATTTCTAAACAAGCTGTTGCTAATGAAGTGGCTGATACTATCATCCATATTTTTAAAGCACAGTATATTTTTATAGAAACATAAGATTTAGAATAATCATTTTTATAAAAGTCAAATTATGATATAAACATACAACCCTCTAGAGACCGAATTAATTGGAAGTTCAATGGTTATGTAGAAATGATCTGCAGCTACTTAATGGCTGGATAAGTCAGCAAGTTCTGTGGACAAGTGAGAATAATTATATAAATGACACTCCAACATTCTGGATTCAATTAATAACGAGGGTACAATGTTTATTAAATGAATTTAAGAAATTTTTAAACATAAAAAAATCCACTCATTTTTTATCCTAATATGTATATTTTATGCATAGCGTATTTTCATTATATCCTTAGAATTCTAATTTAGAATGTAACTGTCAAGAACTGAATTCTAATCATCAGTAATATAATAAGTTAATTATTACGGTTATTAATAAATCCTTCTTATAAAGTAATTGCAAATATTTCAAAAAACTTTGTCTGAATGCAAATATTTCTAATTTTATATTAATCAAGATTGCACACGATATTATTTATTTGCACTTCAATTCTTACCATCAGCTCTAGTAGAAGTTACAAATCAATTATATTTAATTAAGGAATGACCATTTAAGTTTAGAAACAGCATACCGTAACAGCAATTCAATAATTGGCGCCATATCTTTCATGTTACTCCTGATTGGCAAGCTACATGATTTTTAATGAGTATTCGGGTGCTAGTAACTTCACTTGGAAATCGTGCTTAAACTAGGTTAGTTGGTTATTTGAACATAGAAAGAACATGAGAGCTATTTGGTTAAGATGCTTTCATAGAGAGCCTTTGTAAAGAGAACCTAGAGAACTACGAAAACCAACCACTTTACACAATAACCGCTTCAAAGTTAATGTGAACTTTGAGGCAAATTTTCATGAAAATGTTTCATGTCTGGCTGTTAATTGGTTAACTGTGCTATGTTTTATCTCATGTACTGCATTATGTATTTTCTTATTTTAACTACCCATGTATTATGTTGTGTTATACAACATAATGCTAATGTTCAAAGTGACTTTAGCATTGGTCTGCTATCCATAATGTCAGATTTTTTTTTTTTTTTAAATTTATAAAATTCTGTACTTGATTTTGAACATATCTAACACCACTATTTAAGGAAATAGAACATGTAGCTATCTTTTTTGAATATTATTTGTAAGAAGCTACTTTTTACCTGTGCTGGAAGTTGCTTGTTCTTCAGTTTTAAAAATGTGATGTAGAATCCAAAGAATAAGATTTTTTTAACTATAGTATTTATTTTCTATTTTGTTTTAAATTTTATTATGTTTATAGGTTGCGTTGGAAATCCTTTGCCTAAAGTAGAAGTGAAAATTCAGAAGGCTGATGATACGTCTCATGAAACTATTGATATTGTTTTTGGAAATGATTCAGAAGTAGTTGTCAAACCAGAGTATAAAGGAGAATCTGGAGAATTATTGATAAGAGGTCCTAATGTTTTTAAAGAATATTGGAATAAAGAAAAAGCTACACAGGAGTCATTTACTAAAGATGGCTGGTTTAAAACAGGTTTGAAAATTTGCAAATATTAAAACAATTAATATTAATTATATTTTAAATGCTAACTTCAAATAATCAGCATTCTTTCAAACTATTTTGCTTAAATTGCATCATTTGTTAAGTAATAGAGATGGTGAAGTCAATGAGATTTATATTTTTTAATGCATACCTTTTATGGAGAATTTTTAGGGGAAGTAGATAATGCGCAGCTTGTTTCTTCTAGGAATAGGGTACCAGTATTTATTAATTTTATCTTATATATAAGGCCACATACGAGAATACAAAAGTTTTAATGGACAGATGTCTATTAAAATTGTTTCAGCTAGAGGTAAAAATTAATGAAAAATATAAGTTTGTGTGTGTGCATGCTGATAACATGCTTTTATGACACTGATATGTATAATTAAGCTTTTCATTTTGTAAGCAATGAGAATACTTTTTAATAGGGAAATTTAAATGATGGCACTTCATAAATTTAAGTAGAAAGTAGTTATGGTAAAGTACCCATTTAAATATATGCATTGTTTTGTGTTTTTTCTAGATTTCAAAATACCATTTCATGAAGCTTCGAGATTTTGATTTTCAGCATAAAATATAATATATACACCCATCAATGACCAAGTGAATAATATTTCTGAATACGAATAGTTCAAACTGAATTCAAATATCAGCAAATGTGGCGGGGGGGCATTTTTATAGCTATCTCTATACATAGTGTGATTATAAGCCATTTTCCATGGAAAGTTCTTTATGAGTGCAATCCTCCCATAGGCATGTGTTACCCATAATGAATTAAATTAATGAGTGGCTATCTATGGAATATTAATTTGCATGTACATATTGGTTTGTAATCTTCGCAGTTTTGTGTTATTACTTAAAATTACTGACATCTTTGTTTTCAATCATTGTTTGCTCATTTTTTGCAACCCTTCATTCAACGAGTTGTATTTTTTTTCAGTGAACTTAATGAGGCTAGATTGAAAGGAACAGAAATCATGTTATCATTTTCATGCAGGAAAATACCTCATATTCCAATCATATTGCATTGTGCTAATAATAAGTGTTCATGTGACTGTTAATTTATTAAATATGTGTGTCAGGTAGGGATTGCAATAGTGGCTTTTCTAATTCCTGTATTAGTGGTAATTTTGAAAAAAAAAAACTGCATTTTGTTAATTTGAATAAGAAATGGAAGAGAGAAGTATCAGTGACTGATGTGAGGAATTCATAAGACCATTTTGTAATTTTACCAGCATATGTAATTCGTACAGATCACTTTTGTTCATCTGTTATAGTACTTCTTTAAGAAATTTTATTTCCGAGCCTCTTTGTTAAAAGAACGTTTCGTTAAAAGATCTATTATTTAGGTGCAATCTCATTCGAGCAGAATTGATGCCCAGGATACATGCAATGCTTTTAAAGAGGGATAAAATAAAATAAAGGCATTTTGTATTAACAACACATAGGATAAATGCTTATATCTTGTTGAAAATAAAGCCTGCGTGCTCAGAAACAATGTTTTTTTCTTAGGTATATTTTGCAGCAAAATACAATTACAATGAGACAGCATAGTTTATATAATTTATGTGTGGTTCAAGAGCATTTAATGTACAAAAAGAAAATTTGCATATGTTTTATTTTTTCTAGTATTTTTGATATAAATGTTCAGTAATAATAAGCTGCTGTCCTTTTCAATACGATGATTAGCAGTTCCTTAGCACTGCACCCACATTTGCATCCTGGCCATAACATAGATGTTTGTGTTTGTCTATCCCCTTTCTTGTGGGTGTGAAGCCAATCTATCTCTTGCATTGCATACTGGGCAACATTCTCAGTGATGAGAAGCTAAATGTCTCATGAGTTTGTCCATACTTGATCAAAACTAGCAAGTGTCCAATGATTTTGGGGGAAATAATGCACTAAAAATTATATAACTCGCATAAAATTTAATTTTTGTGTGTTGTCTTTAAGTAGTAAGTAATCTTAAATCATTAAAAAAGAAAGTTTTTTATTGCAATTTTTCCTTTTTTTTATAAATTTAATAAAAATGACGAACTCTTACTTTTATTACACTTATGTTTTCAGAACAATATTTATTTACTGGTATTTATGTAATGATAATACTAGTATTAGTGATATTTTTTGGTATTAACAGTCTTGGTGACAATTTGTGTTTTTAATATTTTTAATTGCAGATGTGGTATGAAGAGGAAATAAAAACAATTATATATTTTGTTAGAGCAATATTGACTGAATTAAATAGAAGCACCAATCTGAAAATAAAGTAACTATGGAAGATGTATGTAATGAACTTTAAATGAAAGTGTTGCTTTTGTATAGCTTAATATAAATAACTTATAAGCAATTACTGCTAACTTGAGTAAAACATAAACCATTTGAAAACTTTACTTCAAACTATTAGATTGTAAATTTGGCAAAATACTGAGGAGGCAATTTTAATAGCATTGTAAATATCAATATAAAGCAATAAGACGAAATGCAAATAATTTTCCTGGTTTAAAAATATGCAAACAAGAGCTAAATTCATGTAAATAGGCAATTTAAAATATATAAATATAACAATGTTTGGGTACGCAGTGCTATTTTGAGATTTTTCAGAATTTAAAAATGCTATGAAATTTTATCAGAAAATTTAGATTTGAAGACCAAAATAGTTTATATTGAACAGTTAGGGATTTAACTCATATTTTAACTGATGTCCTTCCCTTTGTATGCATATAATCAATTATTTGGTTATTTTAAACCAAATTCAAGTTCAGGTTTGGAAGACATTTCTTGTGATGAAGTAAATGGAAAACACTACATGTGAGTAGTAAACTAAAAAGGAAATGCAAAACGGTATTAAAAGCTTAAAATTAATTAGCATCTAATTTCATCAGAACTGATGTATATTTAAATTCACACATGCTTAAACTGGGACACATTTCCATTCATTTTAGCTTTCTCATGTGTAATATTTGAATTTACATATGTAATGTTGCAGCTTTAATTCTCATTAAGCAATTTCATATTAAAAATAAATGAAACTTCTCTAGATATAAAGTTTAAATGAAAATTATAAATTAATAAATGTTTAAATTTCAACACAAAATAAGGGAAAGCTTTGTGTTGACCAAACTTAATTGCAAGAAATCTAATTTAAATCAAGTCAGTAGAATTTTAAATTCAGAAGTGTAGCCCAGCACTTTGATAATTTACTTTAGGTGCAAGTTTATATGTATTTGTTCAACTGTAAATGGCAACACACACAGGGCTATCTCCTTAAGGGGAAGTGATGCTTTCGTGGAGGATTTTATAATGGTAATTGACTTATATTTAAGTTATATATGGAAAACCATGAAGGCTTGCAGCCAGCTGGTTCACCAAGATTTTAACCAAGGTTAATTTCTAGTTTTTCAGTAGTTTTAACCACTTGGTTTCTGGTGGGCATAATTAGAAGCGAACAAATAATGTAAATTTGTCATGAAAAGGAATATCTTGATATAAATTATGTATCAGTATTTCCACAAAGCTATAAAAAGTATTCCCCATCAGTAAAATTGTTTCTTGGATATCTGTATTTATAGTTTTGTACTTAGAAGATTGGTTTATTATTCTCAATCTTTTTCTTTTTATAGGTGATACAGCAACATATGAATCTGGATCCTTTAAAATTCTCGGCCGAACCTCTGTAGACATTATTAAAAGTGGAGGGTATAAAATAAGTGCTTTACAAATCGAATCTTGTATACTTTTACACCCTGATGTAGCTGAATGTACTGTGTTTGGTGTACCTGATGATGTGTGGGGTGAGAGAGTTGTTGCTGTTGTTTTACTTAAAAAAGGAAAACAGTTATTAGATACTGATTTAAAAACTTGGTGCCAAAATCATTTGCCTAAATATTCAGTGCCTTCTGTATTTAAGTTTGTAGATACAATTCCACGAAATGTTATGGGGAAAGTGAATAAAAAGGAATTGAGACTAAAATTTTAAGTGTTGTATATTTAGTTTTTGCGTTACTTAATGTTTTTTCTTGGAGAAAGATGCTTCTACTTACTAAATTTTCTATGTGTTTAATATATAGGGAACAAATTTTCTATTGTATTGCTGATATTAGGTATTTGTATTATAAACATTTTAATGGTTGATTTTATTATGTAATCATGGACTAAAATGTGATATGTCTTTAGGTTTAGTTTAGAGTTTATTGCTCATGTTATTGGTGTAATTATATGCCATACTGGTGATATATATTTTAAATGGAATATAAATTTTGTAATGAGTAGGAGGGGAAGAAAACAATTGCACATAATATCCCCACACATCATCTTTGTGGTTTTAATTACAGTGTAAAAATTTTTTATTAAAGTCATATTTTGAGATAAATATTCATTTTTGTTTTAATAGGATGTTTTCATATTTTGTATTATCTTTAAGTTTATGTGCATATCTGTGCTGTAGAGCAAAGCTTATTTTGATTTAGGATGATAAATAAAAAGGTCCTACTTTCTGTTGCCCAGACCATCGCTGATAGTGATAATAGAAGAATTTAAAAGAATCAAAACTTAACTTTCAATCTGTGGTGATTTTTAATATCTAAAAACTTAGCAAAAGGTTAGCAAATTTACATAAATTAATTATATACATATGTTTAATCTAATTAAAAGTATAAGCAATCATATTTTTAATTTTCTGGAACTTTTTGTAAGATACTTAAAGAGTGAAAAGGATAAATAAATCTTACTTATGTAATAATTAATTTTGATATTCATAAAGACAATAATCTAAGTAATAAATATGGTAATGTCATGTGCAAATGCATTCTTGTAGCTCTTGCTGGGCTCGGTGAAAATCGTATAATGTCTATGTTTGTCTGATAATTAAATGATTCATTTATTGCTAAAGTAAGAGTCAAAATTGATCAAGTTCTCTAAAAAAGAACTAGAGCCATTATATAAAACCATAAGAGTTTGGAATAATCATTTAAGCAAATTTACATACATGAGACTGAAGTGGTAAAACATCATATATATATATATAAGTAGCTTAGCTTGCATTGTTGAGATCAACAACTGAAAAATTTCAGTATTGTCAATATAAGCCAAATGGTACTGATTAATGTTTCTTTTTATTTAAGAAGAAAAATGAAACTTTGAGTTTTCATTTGGTTTTCTTTCTTTCTTTCTTTTTTTTTTTTTTTTTTTTTTTTGAAAAAAATCTGCTGTGTATTGTTTTCCTTTGCAATAAAATTATGTTTTTGACAGATGCTGTTGCGGATGGATTATGCATGGGATCTTTCGTTTATATTTATTGTAAAAGAGCATTATTGGATATAACATTAATGAATCATTTAAAATGCAATTTTACTTTTTTTCCCAGCAAGTTCTGTTTTATACAGTGAGTGTTATCAATAAAATGCACTTCTGATCTCCTATAATTGGACAGTTGGAAAACCTTTAACTCTTATTGTGTACGTTACCTGTCATAAAATCCAGTGGTTGCAATTAAATTTTATAATAATATGCAGAATGCAAGACTGTAGATCTGTATATGTTTAAAATTTATTTAAGTAATAATATACGTATATTTTTTATATTTTGATATTTTCCTGTTTATACCATGTTATATTTTGAAAAGAAATGAAGAAAACAAAGTGGAAACTTTTAAAACAAATTTGTTTGGAGTTGAATTTTAATGATAGTCAAGATTATAAAGATTTAGTTCCATGAGTTAACAGCAGTAGATATTATTTTAAGAAATAATGCCACCCAGATAGTATAGTGGTTAGGGTAACCTACTGTGGTACCGTTTCTAGGCCTTGTTTCGAGTCCTGGAGAAGGCATAGTTGTCCATCCTTTCACAGGAGGCAACAGTGGCAACTAGGTGGTTTCACAATAAAATGGCCAACTTTTGTGGCCTGAGGCGTGGCCAATGCTGAATAGGCAAGTGGCTGCCATTAGATTGAAAAAAAAAAAAAAACTTTAAGAAATAAAATAGTTGTATGCTTTGGATAATTTAGATCTCTGATATTTAAAAAGACTTTATTAAACTTTAAAGTGGTTAAATCTTAAAGGTGTTTGATTATAAACTCAAATTTTCAGATCTTAATCTGAATTTTTTTTTATTGTGAGATCTTTAAGTTCTTGATTAATTTACATATCATAGGTATGCCTGAGCAAATATTTTTCGACACTTTTTCGACTATGAGTAGTATTTCTAAAAAGGTAATTTTTTTTAACCGTCATGTATATTTATTATTTATTTTCATTTAGTCTGAGATCATTTAAAAGGAAAATAACAATAAGTGATCCGAAATATGGGAAGTGAAGTGGCATTAATGTTAGAACTATCGAAATGAGTTAATAGTTTTGAAGTCTGTTGAAAAATTTGCATTTTGCAGGGATAGCAATGTTTCTGTACTTCTAATGGAAAATAATAGCAGATATTAACTTGGATTGTATATACATTGTGTCCATGAAAGTCCTTAGTCAGCCTTTATTTTTGCAACTTTTGTTCATAGACATAATTACAAAATATTTTCAATTACCCAAATATTCACATTTTGTCATTTTCCCATACGACTTAAATTTCAAAGTTAAATATCTTGGTCAATTTTTAACATACAGGGATGAAACTTTTTGTAACTTTATTTTTTATAATGAGTATAAAATTTTCCTGAAGACAAATATAGGGATGAGGGGGAACATATGAAAAATTATACAAAATTATACAAAATTTTGCAAAGTTGATTTTTCTTTTAATGTGCCCAAACAGGAATATTTGCATTTAAAATGTTTTTATAACTGGAAATATATGTCTGTGACAAAAGTGGCAAAAATAAAGGGTAAAGGCTTTTGGGCACCTGGAACAGAAAATAAAACAGCTGTAGTACATTAAACTGAATTTATTTTCATGTACTCTGCATTTTATTATGCCCCTTATATAGTTTTTTTAAAAATTTTATGCCCATGATGCCATGTGTAGGCAATAATATGAACGCATAAAAAGTTAAAAATACTGAAACATTTGGCACTCTAGATCGAAAATGAAACATTAGATGCATTATTGACAATCCAAAATAGAATACCATGAGGCATGTGAGATATCAAAGCCATATTTACTGGACAAATAAGATACAAGGATGAATTGAAACAGTTCGATGTGTGGAACACAAAGAAATACAAGTTGTCACAAGGACAATAACTTTTGTGACACATTTAGCCACTGAACACTGCCAGTGCCTAACTGATTAAGACTGCAGAATGCTGGGAATTTGAAGTGGTTTTGATTCCAGGTGAAAGTGTTGATTGCTTTGTTGGTTTTTGCATTTTTGCCCATGTGTAATGTTAATGCAAGTAAGTTTCTGTTAGAAAGCGAATGAAAGTATCGATCCCCTTTGGCAGATAGCTCTTGCATGTTTTGCCATATTCAAATAACCTAATGCCTAAGCATTGAAAGAAAGAGGTTTAGATATGTACCTGGGGGTATGTCAGTCCACAAATGAGCCATGTTCATTCATGCTGTTTTAGCTATTGAGCTTTTAAGAACGTACTGGTTTCCACACATTGCCAAACTTCTTGCATAGCTGTGGGAGGGAGCTGTATACTGGGCCACTCATTTACCAGTCCTTAACCAGATGTGTGCAATGGGTGACATCTCAGAAGAATGGATGGCCAAGGTAGCAGTGTGACCTGTGGGCAATGAAGAACTATTGAACATTGCTTGCCATGTGCAGTTGTGCATTGCTGTATTGTTTTTGGCACTGCTGACTGGACATCTTATATGCTATTAAGGTTCAAGCCATTTTTATCGAGACAGCGAGACCATCTAGCTAGCCAGCCATTTGTTACCTAGCTAACCAAGCTGGAGGGTAGGATTAGTAGGCCTATTGGACGTTAATTTCTGTGTATTAGTATAATTGCAATAACAGTTTACAGATGCAGTTCTACATACATTATGAAGAACTAAAACTTATAGACACTTTAATTTTAGATATTTACAACGATGTTTTTACAGTTGCAGTTCCAAAGAACAGAAAATTTGAAGCTGAATAAAAATTTTGAACAGAATTTGGAATTGTGTGTGTGGAAAGGTGTTACATTTATTACAGAATTGGTGTTTACAATCTGAATTATTATTTAAGGCCTTTTCACTCTTGATAGGTGTTACAATTCATCAGTGTTATCATTTATGTAATTAATTATCTGTATCACTTTAATTAGAGTTCCATAATTGCCCACGAGTAATTCGCATGATTTTTGTTCATTACTTGTGCCTTGCCATCATTTGACAATTGTGTAAATAGTGACTGAGAGCACCTGGAACATATGTATGCTTCTCTTTAACTAAATCTGTGTAGATATGCAGGGGTGGGATGATGAGTTTGTAGCTATGTGACATAATTGCAGTTAGTCTTAATTTCTGTGGAGACGTTCAAGAAATATTTACAGGTCAATTCACCTTCATCCATGTTGTCCCAACTCTGACATGGCCTGAGCTGTGGTCTTGTTCTTGAGGTGGGTGGTTTGATTTTGAATGTAGATAAGATGGTTATAATATCTGCTAATGTAGCTTTTGCTAGTGTGCCTGTGAGCTCATTTCCTTGCTTTGTCCCACCTCAGTTAAATCTTCCCTTTGTTATATGTGGTGAGACAGTGGATGTCACGTACATTTGATTTCGGTATTTTCTATTGCCAAGTTACTAGAGAAACTATGCGAGTTGATTATGATTCGTGTTCATTGTGCAATAATGCCCCTTTAACTGTTCATTTAGTGACCACCAGCTCTTGTTCAAATATAAGAGTTAATAGACAAATTATAGGTTCAATTACTGTTTCATACCATGTCTTTAGAAGACGGGGGGACTCCCCATGACTTCAAGGTAGTGCATATTAGATTGCTGTTGATTAATGAGATTTTATTTGCTGAGATATTCAATATTAGGGGACCAGGAAATGTTGTCATCTGAGATCACAGAAGTATTTTAATTTCTTGTAGATTTTGATACGGGAATTTTGAATTCGGAAGTTAAAGCGCTGTACAAGGCAACGCGACTTTGTAAGAACTATGGTAACGGACTTCCTTGGCTAAAACTGGAGTTTATGTTCTTTGCACCAGTTTTCTAGTAGCTGAAGAGCTCTTTTTGTGTGTGTGTACTCGGATCCTTGATTTCCCACTAGAGATAATCAAGAAGTTATCAGCAAAGGTTTGAGCTTTAATGTCTTTAGAAATGCTGTTGAGAAGTCTCAATGCTCACTCTCCCTCAATATTCCAAAAGGTTGGATCTAAACAGCTACCTTGTGGACAGCCTCTGGTTACATGTCTCCTGGTAGCTTCTGCATTCGTAGATACCTGTGCAGTAGGCAGCTGCATTAGGATTCGAATGATGTTCGCTTAGATGAGACTATGATGACAGGCCACCAAATGGTAAATATGCCTTTAATATCGAAGTGAGATGATAGCTGTATAGATATATCTTTTTATATTGTCTTGGCATATGTTATACACATTAACTATAGAGTGGCCAATTGAGATTTTTTCGAAGAAACCAAACTGATTTCTGAGCAGTGCTTTGCATGTGGACAGTTGATTATTCAAGCGCACTAGGATCAGTTTTTCAAGGAACTTGATGGTAGAAGGGCACCAACAAATTGACCTAGAGAAGCCAGGATCATTGCTGTTTCTATTTTCTGTAAGGAACAGTACTTCATTAGCATGTTTAAGAGGATTTAGAAAGATACTCGGGGTCCAGCACACGATGAGAAAATTTAAAAGAATGTTTGGCATTGTTCAGTGTACTTCAGCAAAGATTATATTATTGATGCTAAGTATCTTGTCTTAGGAAGGGAGCGGTCGTGGAAGGTGAGTGGGCGCAGAGCATTCAACGCTGCAGTGCAGTCGCATGTGTCTGTAGTGGAGAGTCTACAGTAATTGCAGCAGTGGATGCCAGGCAAAGGGTCCCTTCTGCATCCAACATAGAATCGTACTTGTTGATGCAGATTGTTGTGCAGCAGACCCTAATTTTTGAACAAGAGCTCTTAACTTCTTAATGACCGAATTTATATCAAAAGTTATGCCGAAAATTCCTGATTTTTTATACAATTTTTATTATCTATAGATATAGCTAGCTCGTTAGGTGTAGCTTTATAAGGCGAAAACATTTTTTTTTTTAGATTGGGAAAAGTTATTTATTACGGTTCATGAC